GAACACACAGTTTACATGTAGACAGGGAGAGAGGCAGAGTACACTGAACACACAGTTTACATGTAGACAGGGAGAGAGGCAGAGTACACTGAACACACAGTTTACATGTAGACAGGGAGAGAGGCCGAGTACACTGAACACACAGTTTACATGTAGACAGGGAGAGAGGACAAGCGCACTGAACACACAATTCACATGTGTACAGAGAAGGAGGCCAGTGCACTGAACACACAATTCACATGCGCACAGGGAGAAAGGCTGAGTGCACTGAACACAGTCTACATGCAAACAGGAAGAGAAGCTGCGCGCATTGAACACACAATTCACATGTGAAACAGGATAGGGGTTGGGCGCAATGAACACAGTTCACATGTGAACAGGGAGAGAGGTTGGTCAAACTAAACACACAATTCACATGTGAACAAGGACAGAGATCAATCACAGTGAACACGAAAGTTACATACAAACAGGGCGATAGGCCAAGCGCATTGAACACAGTTCACATGTGAACAGGGAGAGAGGTTGAGCGCACTGAACACACATGCTTCTATGTATCGACACTGCATTTTCTTTCTCATCGGCTCTCCTTTTCCATTGTGTTACAAAATCATCTTTTATGCTTATGCAGTAGATACTTCAAACAAAAGCATCTACTGTCTCCCAGTTTTCAATGAATGAATGAATCAGAAATACTGCCTAAGCAATCTTCATTGCGTTAACACGTGACTGTTGGTCCTGGACAAAAAGATGGAAAATAAAGATGAATGACAGTCTGACTGAATGAATGAATGAATGAATGAATGAATGAGTGAATGACTGAATGGGGAAAAGAATTTGCTATATAACCTACAAAAGGTGAACTAAGGTGGGCTGATATGAACAATCGCAACCAACCAACCAATCAGTTGAAAACACTGCTAATAAAATAAATGTGAAGAATGAAAAGGTATAAATGATAACAGTGTATATTCTTAGCATCAACATTTACCATGAAAGGTAATTGCCATATAACCAACAAAGATACCGAACAGTCTTTAATCCAGTTATTGATTGGGCAAACTAAATATTGTCTGCTAGACTCAAATTGAATGACTTAACCCAAGAGTTAGTAACTTAATTGGTGTTAAAGGCACTATGTATTAAGCCATCATAATCCTCTAAACCAGTGTTTCTCAGTCCTGCTCCCAGAGTGCCACCTGCCAGGAAGTTCTCACACCTGCCTGAGCTTAATTAGTGTCAGGTATTTTTTAATGGCCTAATAATGAAGGTGGTATGTTGTAAACAGTGCGGGTTTGACTGAAAACTTGGCAGGTGGCACTTCAGGAGCAGAATTGAGAATCATTATCCATTGTGTACAATTAGTATAGGGTTGGGGGGGGGACTGGAGTCTATCCAAGAAAATACTGACCCCCTTATTCAGTGGAAGAACAATGGAACAATACTGAGTCCCCGAAATCCCAGACATACCACATTTTTCCTTTCACTCCCTTACTGGAACACTCAGATTTAACCAAATATGCTTCCCCTTTTCAGCCACCTGACATTTTCTCAATAAGGCTTCGTCACTCACACATCGCAATGTTTCCCTTAAGAAGTGGGGTTGACTACATAGAGAATATATTATTTTCAGTTTTTTCTCTCATGTGGTTGGGAACCAAATAAAACTGCAATGCAAAGTACTTTTGCTGAAAGTGATACCAGGAGAGGAACCACACTCTTTTTAACTGTCACTGTGTGTAACTTCAACCCAGTCATGAACTTTACAACTTTGCATTTCTCCTTGCGTGGACTGGCCAGGCCCAACTGCAAACAGATTCCCAACCTCTCTCCAGAAAACGATATGATGCACCAAAATAAAGCCAAGCATTTGGACATAATGGTTTTATGGATGCATTGCCTGAAATAACAGGGAAGTACACAGAGTAGCTCCAGGGGGGGATTCAATGTAGTACTTTCATCTCATTAAAGTGACAAATGTACCAATAAATGTCCTGGGAGTTTGAGCTGGGCCCTCCTGCATGTGGTGCCACTATTGTCAGCATTGAATGGGAGGGGATTTTATTTGTTAAATACCACCATTAATTAGCATTTTATCAAGTTTTATTCCTAAGGCCTTCACTGAGGTGTACTAATTTTTGCACCATGGTCTTAAATCATTTTGTTGCTGGAATATTTTAAAACAAAAGAACCCATAGAAAGTATTAATTCTAAAGAGAGACAGATGTACTCATTTATGCTGGACACTGTATCTGTTCATCATCCTGAAAAAACGCCTATAAATAAAATTATTTTCTGGCAGAGGAATACAGGTGAAGACAGCTCTGTTTTTTTTTTACCTGTGAGTCATCTGCCTGTGTTCTATATCTGGAATTCCAGCTCTCCAGCACTCCACAGTAATGCCCGTGAATAGCAAAGTCTTCTCTTTCCATCTTCTTATTAAGAGAACATTCATTGACACAATAAAATTCCAGATTCATTGGTTTGCTAGTTTCCTACTGCTTCTTTTCATCACATCAATGTATGATCAGTGACTGTTAGATCAGAGCAATGCGTATATTCATAAAATCAATGATCCATGCTGATAAAAATTCCCTTTGGGTATGGCAATAATTTCTGAACAAGGATTTCAACCCAAAATGGCTTCAGTAAGCATCAGTATGAGTAAGTATCCCTTTAATAAAAGATTAACTTTGGTTTACAGAAATCAAAACCAGCCCCAGTGCAGCATTGTAACAGAGAAAACATACTTTCTATGATGGTGACCTGCAATTCCTTCCTCTCAGAGTTGTAGGTGAGGGAGAAGTGCAGTTTAGGACGGAGCGTAGAGGAGCTTTTTGTCAAATCAGGGTTCAGCTCTGTAGCTGAGGGGGTGTCATCAGTGGAATCTGCAATGTGAGAGATCACTAAGTTAGAAGACTCTCAAGATCAAAAGACATTGAGAGTTATTTTAAAATGTTTTTGAGGGCCCCATTCTTGATTGATTCGGTTTACCTTGCTTAGGCATGAGGAAGACTTCCTCAGATCCTTCTGTTGCTAGGTTACCAGAGTCAGGCCAGGCAGAGGCAGGTGTTTCTGCCAGTGGCTTCTCTTTTGTCTTCACAGTGTAACTGGGATAAGTGATCACCTCTGGGGAGGTGACAGATGGCTTGGGCTTGTAAAGTTTGGGGAATTTCAGCAATGTCCGTGGCTGGATGGACTCTGTTGATTTTTTAACAATAAACTGGAAAACAAAGAAGAAGAGGACACATTTTTACACCGAAGAGCGCTCATTGGAGAAAGGCAAGATCATTAAGGGAGGACATCTTGATGGAAGGAATATCAAAAGAGGACACAATCAAGTGAGAAAAGGAGTGTATATTAGGCAGGATGTCAGGATTCGTTAATGGAGAAGATTCACACAGAAGACATTAATACGCATACTTCAGCTTCCACATTGGGAAAGGCACATAGAGGAGATGTGGGGAGAATACATAGTACAGGACTACATATTAGAGCAAGCATGAGTACAGGCCTCACATGCAGGAGTCATGAGGCACAATGGACACCAACATATTTGGGAATAGCATGCAGTCACACATTTGGTATCGTGTTCCATGCTGAACTCCATCCTCACCTCAGCTACTCAGACCAGGTCTCTGTTATGCAGATCCCAGTGTACAGTCCGCCTGTCAGACGTGCCAAGCCCATTTGGAAGCAGAACAAAACCTGGCCCCCAGGAACCATCTCTGCATTTCAGGACTGTTTTGAACACACTGACTGTGATGTTTAGGGAAGCTGCAACCTACGGCAGCTCAACCAACCTGGAGAAGTACACAGTGTCAGTGACCAGCTACATCAGCAAGTGCATTGATGACGTTACTGTCTCCAAGATCATCATCACACGCCCCAACCAGAAACCATGGATTACTGCAGAGGTGCATGCGCTGCTGAGAACATGAGACACTGCCTTCAGGTCCAATGACAAGGCTGCCCTGAGAACAGCAAGGGCCAACCCGTCCCGGGCCATCAGAGTGGCAAAGTGTGCACATGCTCAGAGAATCAATGGCTACTTCCAAGATACTGGGGACCTACAAAACATGTGGCAGGGCATCCGGGCCTTCACCAACTACAGGACATCTCCACCTGCCTGTGATGGTGAGGCATCCCTTCCTGTTGTGCTGCATCACTTCTATGCATGATTTGAAGTACAGAATGACATGGTAGTGAGGAAAACCACCCTACCCCTCAATGACCAGGTGCTCTGCCTGGCCACGGTTGATGTAAGGAGAGCGCTGCTCATAGTCAACTCACATAAGGCCATCAGACCAGACAACATTCCTGGTCTTGAGCTCAGAGCAAGTGCAGACCACTTCAATATCTCTCTGAGCACCACTGTTGTTCCAATGTGCTTCAAAGTTACCATCATCCTTATGCCAAAGAAGTATCCGGTGTCCTGCCTCACCGATTACTGTCCCGTCGCACTCACAACTATCATCATAAAGTGGTTTTAGAGGCTTCTCATGAGTTGCATGAGTTTGCGTATTGTCTCAATCGCTCAACAGATGATGCCATCACTACCACCCTTCACCGGGTCCTCACCGTCCTGGACAAAAGGATACATATGTGCGAATGCTATTCATAGGTTTCAGTCCTACAAAGTCATTCCTCAGCATTTGATAGGAATTCTGATACTACAGGGCCTGAAACATAATCAAGTTCACTGATGATACAACGCGATGGGCCTGATCAGTGGAAATGACGAGGCGGCGTAAAGAGAGGAGGTGCAACAGCTAACAGACTGGTGTGGAGCCAACAGCTTTGTCAGCTTTGACAAAGGAGATGGTTGTTGACTTCAGGCGGGCACACCATGACCCCTCTCCACTGAACATCAATGCATATACAGTGGAGATCGTCCAGAGCACCAAGTTCCATGGTGTTCACATCTCAGAGAACCTCAAGTGGACCCTCAACACCAGCTCCATTGCCAAGAAATCTCAACAGCGTCTCTATTTCCTGCGGAGACTGAGGAGAGTGCACCCCCCCAATCCTCATCACGTTCTACCATGCGCACGTTCTACATAGACTGTGTAGCTGCATCACGGCTTGTCATGGGAATTGCTCCTCTTCGGACAGCAAGACCCTACAGATGATAGTGAGAAGAGTTGAATAGATCATAGGGACCTCTCTCCCCACTGTCACAGGCATTTACACGTCTACAATTTTCCTTAATTAGTGTAAAAATTCAACTTTTTTAACTTTAAACTCAAACTGGAGCTATCAGCTGTATCCTGCTTCTCAGTCTATTTTGGGCCCACTTCCTTCTGCATGATGCCAGTACAGTAAAACCGGTCTAAGTCGACACTCGCGGGACCAGCTTAAAAGTGACGACTTAGAGAATTGACTAGATACTGTACACCTAAGTCGACACTTTGGCGACTTATGTCTATCTCGCCGTTTTGTCGACTAGTAAATATAACTCGCCGTTTTGCCGACTTATAAAGTCGACACTTCGGCGACTTATGTCTATCTCGCCGTTTTGCCGACTAGTAAATATAACACCATACCTCCACTACACCGCACTATACACGCG